ATCAGTAGGAAATATCAGTTTACATTTCCAAACATTCATTTTGCCATTAATTGTAATAATCCAGTGAGATTTTTGTTTGCACAATGAGTCTGACAACAGCCAGTGCTCCACACAGAGATCTGATCTGATCATCATGCAGTCTGTCTGGAATGACATGAAGAAACAGAACAAAGTGAGACAGACTAAGGCTCCGTTTAGACAAGTGCCTTTTCGTTTTAAAACGCATAACTTTTGCTATGGTTACGCCTATGGTTTACACTACTCTGGCGTTTTCGAGGTCGAAAACTGAGACTTTTGAAAAACACTGCAAACCCCGTTTTAGTTTGAAAACTGTAACTGTTTCAGTGTAAACGGACCAAAAAGGAGACTTTTGAAAACGATGGTGTGGCTGCCCACATTCTCTCTGCGTGTCCTTGACGACTGTGTAAACAATAACATCATGCTCATTGTTGTACCCATAGATATGTATAGGTAGGTATATGTATAGGTATATGTATATTCCCCATTCGACTGCTCCAAGCACGCAGACGCATCCGCCATCTAAATAATAGGAAATCTATCTATACATATCTATGGTTGTACCGGCATGACTAGTCATGTGACATGCGTTTTCGGTTGTGTAGTGTAGATGGAGATCGTTTCTGAAATGCAGTGAAAACGCCAGTGTAGACAAAAATCGTTTTCATTTTAAAAACGAAAACGCACTAGTGTAAACAGGGCCTAAATCCAGAAGAGCTGTGGCAATGTCTCCAAGATGCTTCAAGAAACCTACCTGCAAAGCTACCTGAAAAACTATGCACAGGTGTACCTAGGGCAAAAGCTGCTTTAAACACAAAGGATGGTCACACCAAATGTTGTTTTAATTTATTTAATAGAAGTTAATTGATAAAGAAAATCTATTTATGACATTATTTTTGACAGCATCCTCATTTTACAGCATTTTTACACAAGTGCCTAAAACTTTGAACAGCACTGTAGCTTTGCAGGTAGGTTTCTTGAAGCATCTTGGAGACGTTGGCACAGTTCTTCTGGATTTAGTCTGTCTCACTTTGTTCTGTTTCTTCATGTCATTCCCCCAGACTGGATGATGATGAGATCAGATCTCTGTGTGGAGCACTGGCTGTTGTCAGACTCATTGTGCAAACAAAAATCTCACTGGATTAATACAATTAATGGCAAAATGAATGCTGACACACTACAGCAAAAGATAGAAATAACTGACTTAAAACCATTTTTTAGCTGGTGAAAAGTGTTCTAATAATTTTGGCCACCACTATGTATATAAGAAAATTAAAGAATGAAGGAACGAATGAAAGTGAATAAATAAAAATTTCAATAAAAAAAATAATAATTAAAAAAAAACGGACCGAGTCAGAATGTCAGCTTTCTGATGATTCAGGTATTTGACATGCACACAAAACATTTGTGCCTATTTCAGTGTCAAACCTGACAAGCATGTAAGGCTGCATGGTAAGCAGTAATACAAGACTGAACGACTATGAATGTGACATCAAAGATGAAGGTCTGACAGAATATGTGAGCCCTGGTTAAAAGAAAGGAAACAGACAGCAAGGAGTGATATGGAAGAAGAAAAGTTAGACAGAGAGACGAAGGGAATGGAAGACAAAGAAATCACAGATGAATCGAATCATTAAAACTCTGTGATGAATTAAAGATAAATGTTTAATACTTTCAAAGCGTGAGACTCTGACTGGTGTTCACAGGTGGCAGGGATTTAAAAAGAGATGACAGGAAGAAATTTGGCTTTTAGTTCAGAGTTCCGGATCACATCATCTCCATATTCTCGGCCATCATGCGCTGCTATGCCTTCTCATGTTTCAAACCGCTGCATGCACCGACAGCTGAGACTGGAAACACACAGTTTAAAAATCTGATATTCCCGAGGGACATATGCTGGAAGCATGTGGCATTGTGTCTGTGGTATTTACGAAGGAAATGCAAGAGCAAGAGCAAGAAAGCAAGTGGGAGAAATCGGACTGAATTTAATTAATATTCTTTTAAAATAGGCTATTCTTTCAGAACCCATGAAGGAAACTGAAAGCATCTAGAGCAAAGAACATCTGATCAATGTACATGAATCCACCAAAACTAATGTCTGAATTAAATTTTTTTGGCTCCAGCTCAGTTCAAAGCTCACAGCTTGGCTCGTAGGACACAGTCAAACTGGCTCTTCCGAGTGAAACATAACCCCTCCCTGAGGAACAGACCGGGCCTCATACGCTATGATATACCGTCAACACACTTCCAGCAAATCTGGGAAGCTCCCGGGTTCACAGGAATACATTTTCGGTGATGGAGCGAGAACAGAACTTGTGACTCCTAGAGCTCACAGAACGCCTGTCTTTTAATGGAAGCATACAGCCTCAAATGCTCTCCTTTGTTCTCCAACATCTAGTCTCCAAAGGGTTGAAAGTCCTTGTAGAACAAGCTCCAGGTTCCATATAACTACAGGCTTTGTGCAGTATGTATGATTACAAACACAAATCACTGCTGAACCCCAGAGAGCATGGCAGCCAACAAAAAGGTGAACAGCAGGTGCTCGGAATAAAACCAAAAAAGAATTAACTCACACATCTGTAGCAAAAGGCCTGGGTACATTTTTAGCAATAAGTGTTCTAGTTGCCAAGCAGTCAACCAGTAACTATATGAGGAACTGCAATATAGCTAAATACTGTACATGTCTAAAATTGGACTGAAACAATGTGCATGAAAATACATACACTAAAGAAAACTTTTTTCCCAGTTTATTGATTATATGGATTTTTTTTCCTCCACAACTTTATATGGCGGTACAAAAACTGTGGCGACAGTTTTCCAGGCATCTTGTTAAATTCCACATAATGTGTGTTTGGAGGCCCTTTCAGCATTGGCAGTATGTAAAAACTGCCAGTGAGCAAGAAGCGGAAATAAATTTTTTATACAAATCAGGCGGTTTGTACCTATAGTTGTATCAAGTTCCTATAGTACTTACTTGGCCTAGACTACATCAGGAAGCACTTTTCAGTCTTGTGCTACTTGCTGAAATGCTGTAGCAAGATTCTAATCAGCACAGTTATTCTGCAAAATTGATAAATCTAGATTAATTTCTGCTCAGTTCTGCCTCTCTTTCTCAGCTCCAGAAAGAATTTCACTCAAAGGACTGAGAAGTACAGCAAATGTTTCTGCAGGGAACCTGCTGTCGCCTGATTTGTGAACCCATTAAAGGGGTGAGCGACCAGAAGGCAAGGGAGAAAGAGAGTTAATTTAAGCTTAAAATTGAACAGATTACAATGACGGGGAAAAAAGGACTATAAAACATGTCTCTTGTAGCGATTCTCAAAAGAGATCAGCATTAGTCTGAGTGCAAGAAAAGAAATTAAATCGTCTTTCTTCCATTCGCATTAATCATGGACATCACAGGCCATATTGTCTCAGCTTGCCCTGTAGTTATAAACTTGACCTCCAGCCAAAGTTGCTGAAGAAAAGCAAAGTCCAGTGCTGTACAATGCTAATGGCTGAAAGTTTACTGTAGTGCAACACTGAAATAAAGCAGGAGTTTAGCTCTCAGAGCTGTTAGCACTGTGGTCTGTGCATGTGATCAAAAGATATGATTCCTCAAACCAGCATGTCTGAAAATATCTTTGTAAATCAAAAGGAAATGTAAACCTTTTAAAGAAAAAAAAACCATCTCACTGTATGAATGCTAAACCTGACAGAAGTTTATCTTATACTACAGATTCCAGTGAATTATTACAAACATGTGGCTGTTATTGAGATTGTTATGATGGTTTTAAAGCAACAATAAAATTATTATTATTTTTTTTTTTTTAAACAGCAGTTTTGTACCACACACCACAAACAGTCTGGCTACACAAACTCAAGAGAGCACAATAATTCAGAAAGTACTATTTCCCAGAGTTTCTTATGACCTTAGACTTCTGTATTATTTATTAGATTTTTTTGACATTTCACATGTACCCCGGAGAAGACAAAATGCACAGCAAGAAACAACGGAAAACAGCTGGTTCACTGAGCACAACATAAGAAAACCAATCTTCTTCCACTAGAGTTCAAAGATGATAAAAGCTGCGGTCATTCCACAAAACTGGTGCCTTTTTCAAATTTAAAAAGGAGATTTTTATGTAATTTTCTTTCTGATTTTGAAAAACGTCCTTAAGTTTTAATAAGTTTCATTATATAACCTTAAGCAAATGTAAAAAAAAAGGCATGTATGCTTTAAAGCTGACTTATATAATAACAGGGTTGACAGTTTTGCAGTTCATTTATTCATTTCTAGCCTTGTTCCCAAGGCCATGACCCTGTAAGGTGGTCAGTAGAAGAGAATTATTGTTGATATTTCTAAACATATTCTGTGGTCTACTGTGCAAAATCATAGTAGCAGAGTTTAGTATTTAAAATCATCCATTACTAACAAAATATTAAGGTAAAATTATTTTTAAAAAGACACATGTGCTTTATGTTTTCAATTGAATTGTTAATAACAGGAGTCTGGATGATAACATTGCTGATAAATAATCTGGTTGGAAACACAAGGTTAGAGACCAGCCAAAACATGTATCCACATGAAGAAAGTTTCTGGATTTTTGTTTGCGTAAAAGAACATGTCTATTATAAGTTAGAGCAAAGGTTAGTGATAGCTTCTCATTGTTAAAGTCATTGTTTACACATGGTTACGTGGGACACCCTTCTGTGGAATGACCCTCCAGTGTTACAAAACATCTCACCTGTGCTACTTCACGCGGCGCGTCATGCTCGCGCTCCAAAAGAACATCGAGTAAAGACAGCCAACCATACCTGCAGAACTCTGCACCAGTGTTTAGTGATCTACAATTATTTTAAAGTATCACATTTCTTTATGATTGCCGTTTTTCTCATGAACGCCCCATGACAAACACGTGGACTTCTGGCACGGATAGAGTAACCCTGATGACACATTAAATCAGTTCATTTTAGTGCTGTGATTTCACCACCTCTCTCACCTCCGTCTCCAACTGCACCAGCTCCATTTTTTGCCATGGTTCTGCCAGTTGAGCAAGTGGCATTGTGTACGCTCCTTCTTATCTCTCTCAAGTACTTAAAATCTGACGGGAATTTCTTCCGAGCCCGTGTATTCCCTTGTGGAACTACCTGGTCTGTCCCTTTGGATTAGGAGCAAACGGGCGACTTTTCTCTCTCACAATCTGCACAGGACGCGCATAGTCACTCCGGAGAAAAATCGAAGCAGTTATTTCTGTTTAAATGACGTTGACGGATTCTCCTCTCGGTCCGGTGATGAAGAGTTGCACGGCCCCGTTCCTGGAAATGAACAAATCTCTCCCAGTCAGTCAGTCACTCACACACAAGTGGACTCGGGTTTAAGAGGAACATGCGCCGTGCGTCTGCGGCGATGAAACGCGTCCCCTCCGAGGACATGCTCGCGCTCCAAAAGAACATCGAGTAAAGACAGCCAACCATACCTGCAGAACTCTGCACCAGTGTTTAGTGATCTACAATTATTTTAAAGTATCACATTTCTTTATGATTGCCGTTTTTCTCATGAACGCCCCATGACAAACACGTGGACTTCTGGCACGGATAGAGTAACCCTGATGACACATTAAATCAGTTCATTTTAGTGCTGTGATTTCACCACCTCTCTCACCTCCGTCTCCAACTGCACCAGCTCCATTTTTTGCCATGGTTCTGCCAGTTGAGCAAGTGGCATTGTGTACGCTCCTTCTTATCTCTCTCAAGTACTTAAAATCTGACGGGAATTTCTTCCGAGCCCGTGTATTCCCTTGTGGAACTACCTGGTCTGTCCCTTTGGATTAGGAGCAAACGGGCGACTTTTCTCTCTCACAATCTGCACAGGACGCGCATAGTCACTCCGGAGAAAAATCGAAGCAGTTATTTCTGTTTAAATGACGTTGACGGATTCTCCTCTCGGTCCGGTGATGAAGAGTTGCACGGCCCCGTTCCTGGAAATGAACAAATCTCTCCCAGTCAGTCAGTCACTCACACACAAGTGGACTCGGGTTTAAGAGGAACATGCGCCGTGCGTCTGCGGCGATGAAACGCGTCCCCTCCGAGGAAATGAAATAAAAGATGTTATTGTAATACGATGGTTTCTCAACTGACACTCACTATCGGTGTGCACGCAGACACATGAAAAGAGGAGCTGATGCTGTCAGTGTGTTCCGCTCTGAACCGAATCCACAGTGTAAAAGCGCATGAGCTTCAGCCGATCATTGGTTTGAAGACAGTTCTCGGCCAGCCCCTTTCTCCTATACCCCTCTACTGACGCCCCTCTCTGGCCACTTACTGATACTGCACGATCTCAGCTGTATGCAATAGTGTGTTCCTGCACAACCAATTACACCCAAACGTAAATTGCAAAATTTAAAGCTACACTTTGTCATTTTTTAAATAAAAAATAAAAAAATGTTAGAGCGCAAAGGAAAAAAATCCATCTTCCAAACCACGTCCGTACTTTACTAAAACGTTAATAAACCAATAGCCTATTAACGATTTGTATTAAAGCTGTCGGGACGGATTCCACGGGAAATAGCATATATAGGCCTTCGTCATCCGTAGCAGAGCCGAAGCACAACCAAAACAATGTTCTTCCACGAAACGCTTGCTGTTTTTTAACCGCTAGTGAGGCAAAAGTTATGTAGTGTACCTTTGCAATAATTTATAAATTGTAATTTCTATAATGTAATACGTTTATAAGAAAAGTAAAAAAAATTTCATTAGAATTACATGGCAAACTTTATTGCAGTTATTTGTTCATATGACACATATTTGCAGCTTCTACCTTTCAAAAAAATCCTATCCTGTTGTGACGGTATTAACTTTGATATAGTATACAATATAGCTAATGACTTCCATATCAATGTGCAAAGGTATTTGCATGGTACTTCAAAGAATATCGTACTAGTATATTTCCAAAAAAAAACAAAAAAAACGTGGTAGGTAATCAAATGCAATGGTTAAACTTCCTAAACTTAACCATCAGTTGGGCACAAGCTGATCATAAGGAAACATTACATTTAAAAAGTTGCATTTGACTGGACGCAGGAAAGCAAATCATTGCATTGCATACCAAGCATGTTTTACTAAAATACTACCAACAGAAGTAGAGATCGATGTAACAGAGTATTCCCCAGTGCTGGCACAAGTTGCCTATCCCCTTTCCCATCATGCCAGGATTGCTTTTTCATGTTGTCAATTGTAATTGTCTTGTAGGCTTGCCCATTTTGTGACAAGGCAGTGATATGCCAATACCTCTTGACTCTTTATTCTCTCAAAGGGAGCAGAGAAGAGCAACTGTTCTTCTCACTGAGAGTGGTTACCACTGGCAACCACAGACCATCTGCCAGCGTGCCGGTGAATCTGTTGCTAGAGTAAAACAGAGTATGAATGGTCGTCTATATGAGATGGTAGTGGGTGGATATGGAGTGTGCATGATAGAAGGCCATGTTTCACTGAGTCAAATGATGGCACAAAGCGCAAAATCCTTTTAATGGCACTCAAATATACTAATGATAATGTAGGGCTATGTCAGGCTAAACTGTGACATTTTTAAAAGGCGTCAATACTAAGGCCTCAATGACAGATGTGCAAAATTCCTTAGTGTGGACATAAAGTCAATTATGTATGAATCTTTTTCACAAAAATAGGCATTATAAACACTCATTACCCAGTCAGCAAACAAATTTGTCCCAGATTTGGCATGCATCTGGCACTGGCATGCAGCATGTGGGCCAAACATGGCCCGGGTTTGGCAGAGATGGTACTGGGTTTAAGTCGGCACACAAGACATGGGCCAGATGTCAAATGTAGACATGTGGGCCACATAAGTATGGCCGATCTTGACCCAAATTTAAAATCCATTTCAAATATTTTTGAGTAAAATCCCAATGTTTTCCCATACAGAAAGGTAATATATTCACATATATGTGAAACACTGTTAAATATATTGAAATATATTTTTAAAATGCATAACATAAAGCTCATGTTGCGTGTTTAATTATGTGTTTACATGTGTGAAATTATATTCATGCCTCATATGATATTATATGATATATGATATTATAGCTTATATTATAGAATAGTATATTCTGTTGGTATGTATATTTATATATATAAACTGACTTCAAACAATGTTTTGCATTTACTGCTTTCATATTCTCATTCAATTTACAGTTTGATGTAGGCCTACTATCCACTTAAACAATACATGATGAAGTTTCAGGACATTTTATTTGACTTGTATGTACTATTTATGTAAATGCGTAACTTTGATGTGTTTTAACGGGCGCGCACGTTGAGCATTCACTCAGCTGACATGTAGAGAGTCCATATCTCTGCTTTTTTCACTGCTTGTAAGGTAAGTTTAGTCGCTAATATTACACAAATAATACATACAACCATTCCTGACACTTTCATACATGCAATTGACACGTTTATGTTGAATCTTTACAGGAATGGATTAGTGTCTTCAAAAAGACCGTTAGCATCACAACCGTTAACTAGCTATAGAGGCTAACTATTAGAGGTAAGCTAACTATAGATTTGAGCTCTTATCAATGAAAGTTTGAGCTTTTAATCACATTTTATGTGTAGATCAGCCGTTTTGATAGTTTGTAAATGTTTTGCTGGTACTTTGTCAATAGATAAATGGAAGTAATAAGCTAATTAATGTAACCTAAAAGTCTGCACTGTGGGGTCAATCGGTGACGTCAGTTGCATGAACTAATGGTGGGTAATTAACTTGGCTGAGACTTGGGCCAGTAATGGCCCATGTGTGGCCCTTGTCTGGAATCCAGACCTGGTCCACACTAGTACCGTAATACATTGCGGTATGTGGGCCAAGCAAAAGCTGGTTGTGTGGGCCGGAGCTGGGCCAGAGAAAAATTGCTATGTGGGTACCCTCTGTTGTGTATATGTTTGTGTGTGTGTGTATGTTCAGTAGGCTGCTGCAGTACAAACAGCTATTATGTACATAGATATCAAATGCACATACTCAGCTGTACCATGGCTTCGATTCTCTTGCTCTTTACTGCTAGCTTGGCCTATTTCAGTAAGAACCTGGCAATCTGCCTGCCAGCCCGTCTCTACAATTACTGTACTCTAAGTCTCTTTGAATCAAAAGCATCCGCTAGAACAGCAAGTACTCGGCTATAGAGCAGTGTGAACACCATGACTTTCCGTGCAAGGTGCAATTTAGTCTAGAGAGCTCACAAGAGACTTTTAATACAACAGCAGATATCCAAAGGTTAAAAAAAACCTGAAACCTGAAGACGTAATGCAAGATGTTGTACTTTTTACTTGGCTGGTTTGGTATTCCTTGTTCCATGCCAAAGCAGTTTCCCGTGTTTTACAACGTCAAGGCTTTAAAAATTAATCTAGTTTGACCTTGAAAAGAATGAAGTAGAGAAAGGAAAGATTAAAATGCATTCTGAAATTACTAAAATACTACAGTAGATGCATACAGGCAGTAGGAGCTGAATGAATTCAGACATGAGCAATATTTTTATGTAACACCTATAAAATAGTGTACATCGTAACGTTTCCGTCACACGCTTGAGGTATTCGGCCAATCACAACGCACTGGATAGCTGACCAATCAAAGCACACCTTGCTTTTCAGACCCATGAGCTCGATGCGTTTCAGAAAGGCGGGGCATAGAGGAGAAACAATAATGTACAGTATGTGGAAAATAATGTGTTTTTTTAACCTCAAACCGTATAAACACATTTCATTACACCAAATACACAAAATAATGTTCTTTTTAGCAACATCATATGACCCCTTTAATTACTAATTGCATTAGTGTATAAGTGCTCAATAATGCCACCTAGAGGCCGGTGATATATCACAGTGCAGATCTTATAGTAAAGTATTTGGCTATGCATCAGTGAGCCTGTTTGTCTGTTTGTATAGAGCTGTGCATAAAATCTAATGGCCGTTTGCCTGTTTTTCCTTCGGACTCCTTTGGTGGACCCTTTAACACAACTCATGTGTCATTTCTTCCCACAGTACACAGATAGATGTGTTCAGACAGGAAGTCTTGTGTATATGTAATTGATGTTGATGCAAAGCCCTGCAAGAAATAATGGCCAGCCAGAACACTCTTGATGATTAAAACTTGTTGATTTTTGTTGTTGTTGTTGTTTTTTCCCTGCTCAAATAATCAAATTTGTTGCTCAGGAATTAATCAACTTATTAATTATCAAGCTAAAAGCAATCTAAAATGCAGCTCAATTTTTTAAACATGTATGCAACGTGTCTAAAGATGTCTTTCTTTACTAGTTTATTTATTTTAATCTAATTAGATTTTTTATTTATTTATGTTATTTTAATTTTCAAAGTGTATTTTAATCTTAATTTTTACTACCTTATATATGTAAGTGCAC